TGATCAATACCATTTAGTCCAAATATATAATCATCATCTTTTTCTTGGAAATCAACAGTATGCAGGTAACTAGATTCAACATGTATATAAAATATAATATAGTGGAGAGAAAAAATTACAACTAGGAGGCAAAACATAAGGTTGGCAAATCGTAGGTCAGAAGTTGTAGTGAGATATTCTGTGAGACAGTGACTAAAGAGAGGCAAATCTAACAATGACGATGCTGTTAGCCTGTTAGGTCCACTTTCCTAACAGTGAGTTCCACATTTTTCAACAATGCCACTATCGTGATCCTGTCTTCAAGGGGCAGCCTCACCTTTCTAGAACTAAAAGTTTGAAAATTTAGGCCCTACAAACAAACAAAGCAGTGCCGTATATCTCCCACCGTCTTCCTTAACCTTATATAGACATTGCTTTGCTTCACATTAAACAACATGCAGTCCTAAAAACAATGGGTTTACAATCTGTTTCAAGAGGCAGAACCCATCAACCATGTGCTGCCTGTAGGATGCTACGCAGGAGATGCGACAGTAGTTGCATTCTTGCCCCATATTTCCCATGCGATGAGATGGACAAGTTCGCCAAGGTGCACAATGTTTTCGGTGCTAGCAATGTAATCAAAATGATTCAGGTTGGTAATAATAAGTTCAATCTGCAGTTGAGACATCCATCGATATTAGCTTCGTCTTTGTTTGTAAATATATGGTATTGGTTTGCTTATTACTTTCTGATACCAGATTGTGGAGGAAAGAAACAGGGAGGATGCTGTGAAAGCGCTGGTGTATGAAGCAACAGCGAGGATCAGAGACCCTGTTTATGGCAGCACCGGAGCTATTTGCCAACTGCAAAAGATGGTGCAAGAACTTAAGATGCAGCTTTGAATCAACGAAAGCTCGAGTGTTGGAGTTGAAGCAGCAAAAAGATGAGTTTTTGGGCGTTCTTGTGGATGTTAATCATCTTGATCTCCTCTCCCCTGTTAGTGGAGGCAACTTCTCATTAGATTACGATGAGTCTATGGCATATGATCCTGTCAAGTTCCCTACAGAATGCGACGGCTGGATCATTTAAGGCGTAGAAAACCCATATGGTTTGCTGGTAGATCGAAGGCATCTTCTTCAGTATAAGCCTATGAACTGTATAATTTTAAAGGAATACATATATACATGTACACAGAAATTTCAGTTGAGATAATAACTTGTTAACGTATCGCATCATTGATGAAAATTTGAAGTTGTTTATTTTGCTGGTCGTAGTCTTTCTTTCTTCTTCTAAGTTGTATACCCCATTCAAGATGAAAGGTAGCAATTTCATTACAATCAATCATGTCGAGAAGAAAAGCCTGGTAACAAATCATCCACACTTCCCTAAGACGATTCTAACCAACCCACGGTCAAAACCCCCTTTTCCAACTCAAGGTTTGTCGTAGGAACCGTGCATTGACGTTGATGCAGGTTCAAAAGTTAAATCAATCCGGAAATATTTACTACATAATGTTCGTTTTTTAAATTATTGTAATTCTTCATATTTTAAATTTTATTAAAATCACTATTTTTAAAAAATATAAATTAATTAACAATTTGTATTAATTAATGTTGCGTCAATAAAATAATTACTATTATATCACATGAATTTTTAATTTAATGAATTAATAATCTCTAATAACGTAATAATATGTATCATCTTTCAATCATTTAATTAAAAATCATATATCATTATCTTATTAATCAATTAAAAACGTTGTATAAATGCTATATATTTCGTTTGTAACACGTTAAATACATTTGTTAACTAAAATAAAAAAATAGAAAATATTTTATATTAATAAATGTTATAAATAATGAAAAACTATCCTATTACTTTTATTACATAATGAACAAATTTATTTATTATTTTATTATATTTTTATATACATTTTATAATATTAAGTATTTGGTTGTCTCTCTTAAGTCTTAACAATATCATTTTCGAGATTTGGACGTATTTTTTTTTATTAAAGCGGCTAATTTTATTAAAAAATAAAAAATATTCAAATTACAATGAATGTTATCAATCACAACTGTAAACTAAACACATTTTTCTAGACACAAGAAAATTAATCAATTAAGATCACTCAAAGATCATATATGGAAAAGGTTAAAAGACCTACCCAAATAAACTTGAACAAGAGGTATATACAAATAGATCTTGTCACATTGACAAACAAACTACAAAAGAGAATAAAGATATTGAAAGACCATCAACAAACCGCAAATTAGAATCGAGAGCGACATGAAAATATTTTCCACGAATGTAAATCACGTATCCAAATCCAATATGAGGGTCAAAAGCAGGGAAGATCGTTATGATAACAAATAAGCTCTATCTCGATCAATTGTGACAGTGTCGAATCCAACCCTAAAAAAAGATAAACTAAAACAATAACCAAACAATCGAAAACGTGCCATAAAGGTAGAAGAAGTCGCTCCAAAATGGTAAAAATATTAAAAAAACAAATTAAAAAAAAAAACCAGATAAACTATATTAAAACAAAGGGAAAATAATGAATAGATGAAGAAGAACTAATACTAACGACGACCGAGATTTGAATGTATTTTAATTTTCTCATATGAAATACATGTCTTATTAATGCATTTTGTGACATTTAATGATAAAATGTACAATTTAATATATTTTATTTAATAAATAAAAAGACCAAATAAAATATATTAAACTGTAAAATATCAAAATTTAAGAAGAATAAAATTAGGATTGATATAAATAATTTGATTGTTTGTTAAACACCATAAATTTAGTGATTTTTTAGAAAGAATTGATTACAATTAAAAAGTTGAAATAATATGGGAGAAAATTAGAAGTTTTTTTTGTTAAATTTTGTCAAGTAAAATATTTATTTCTAAGTCAACCTATTTTTTTTCAAAATATAGGGCTTCTAACTTTGAGGACATATGAGGTATCACATTCTACACTTGTCAATAGATGGGTCTGTCTACAGGGCATAGGCTGGATGAAACTTCTGCAACCCACTTTAACAGCAGCATTGCCGACAGCAGGTTCATGAGTGATATGGCTGGTTATCTCGGTTAAACTAGTAGGATATGCCGACATGTTTTAATGGATGAAAAAAAATTACGATCAGTAACAAAACCGAATCTGATACCATGTTGTAATCTAAGAGAAAAAGTCGAGAGAGAAGGAAAGAAAAATGAGTTACAGCAAGAAAAAAAAATGATTTCTGAAGTAGGAGATTACAAGAGTTTAAATAGATTAATCGACTTCTAAGAGGACTTTAGAGATAAACTTCTATCTAGATTACAAAGACTCATAAGACCTGTGTTTATTATCATAAAATACTCCTAAACAAATGAGACTACTACTACTACTACACGATTGCTTCTGACATGCAGGTTCAATTTTTAAGTATGATTTGTGTATATTTCGCCTTTTTCTTGTGTATATTTAGCCTTTTTCAGATTTTTGTCTCAATGTGCAATAATGGCTTCTGGTTCCTTGGTTATGATATATTAAATGGGTTTTGTCATGAACACTCCCAGCAAGAGGATCATATGGTTGACAACGCCCTTTGATATCCTATTTCCACAAGCCACTTTTGAAGTTGACTGAGGATATCTCCTTTTTGATTTCACATTTTATTGATGCATGCAGCATAAATTGGTCCCCATCAAAATTATGTTATATAGAAAATTGTGTGTCCCATAAAAGTACATCCAATTGGGGATACCTTGGGGTGTTATTTTCAAGGGCTGAAACTATCACTGTGCAGTTTAAGAGCTGCTATAAGGATTTTCTCTAGCATCTTCAAAGAGGTCATGACCTCAAAACTTCTTACTCTTCTTGATTTGTATGAATATTATGCAAATTTTGCATCTGCTTGGCTTCAGGGAAATTCAGAAGGTTTAGTTTTGATGATGCAACCTCTCATAATTACATATACTAATGGGAATACTCCTTATGAAGTTGATATGTTGGCTCTGAAGGAAATGTTAAACCAGGTTCCGGATACAGTGACTAAAAAAAGCTTCTATAGGTAGTACTAATTTATTTTTCCTTACTGCAGATTGAGTAGAATTTGTTTCTGGATCTTAAATTTGTAATTCTCATTATAACGAAATACTGTGTTTTCCTCAGGCATTGTGTGTTAACTCCATTAATCAAAAAGCACGTCTTACAGTGCTGCTTTTCATTATCATTAGATGTGGTTTTTTTTAATCTCAAAAAGCACTTTCTTATCAGAATATTTAATAGGGGCTTCGACTGCAATGTACACCTAGCAATTTTAGTGAAGTGTCATATCCATGTTTACTTGCAGTCAAACATAAGATAGACATACCCATTTAGACTGCATGTATTGAAATGGTTGAATTTCTGATAACCACTGTTTCTACAAAGCGTAAATGAGATAGTTTGGAACCAGCCGGTTTTTCACTGTGCTCCCTGCTGGGGTAATCCTGCTGTGAAAGACCTTACCCGTCAAGATTTTTTCTTCATCTTGGAGTTGCTTGTATGCCATTTATAGTTCAAAGAAGACCGTGCGGTCATATCACTGTGATGCTACTCACTGTTGGAAAACAATTTTTCTCGTCTTATCCTCTAAACTTCTCTAAGTTTATGATATATTACTTTCATGTTTTCATGTGAAGAGTACTTACCGTAAATTCTATCTGGTTCAGAGCATAATTTGTTTAACTGGGAAGATGGTCTACCTTACAAGGACCAATCAGATTATATCTGGTCCGCTGCTGAATGGTCACGTAATGGTTGGGCCGGTTGTGAATCAACCCCGGTCCCTACTTGTGTATCTCCTGGTGTTGGTCTTGCTAACAATAAAGGAGCTCACCTGGGACACATGAATCTTCATTTCCATCTCTTGTCAATTTGTAAGGCATTTAGCTTATGTATAGTGTTATACTTTCAGTTTGGGAAGGATAAAGCTACAGCAACTTATGGAGTGTTGCCTGCTGCAAATGTTGCCTACAGCAACTCAGGTTTTGACAACTCAGCATAGTAACTTATAATTATAAATGTGCTATACACTGTTATAGCATCCACTTTACTATTATGTAGTCAAAGTAATTATATTGATTGTTTAGTCCTAATTATTTTACTTCCCCAGTGTTTTATGCGTTTACTTGATCACCTCGATCTATTATGGTAGCTCTCTATTGCTTCTCTTTGTGCAGGTGGTGCCCGCTCCATTGAAGTGTTCGACAACGACATCGGAAGTGGTTCTGTTTCTCCCCTAATAGTAACTGGTGGTAAAAAAATGGTTATGTTGGAGTTTGGACTTCGTGACTTCCGATACATAGCTACCGGAAAAACTAAAAAGCACAGGCACCATGATGATGCTGAAAGAAGCATCAACTCATCTTCTAATGTTGATACGAAGACAGGAAACAGTAAACAACAGCGAGACCAGAATCATGGTGGGATGCTTTGGTACATACCAAAGGCTCACTTAGGTACACGTTTTTTCTATTGTCCCCAATTAAGAGCTGCTTATGCATGATTTGATTTTAATTTTATCTTTTATTTTAACAAACGGAATGAGTGAAGGTAGTATCACCAAAATATCTACCATCCCAAATACCAGTTTGTTCTTAACAGGAAGCAAAGATGGAGATGTTAAACTTTGGGATGCCAAAGAACCCAAACTGGCTCATCATCGGTCAAAATTGCATGAAAGGTACACCTTTTTGCAACCAAATTCTCTTGGTTTTGGTGGTGTAGTACGGGTAATTATTTGTGATTATAGCCATGTTTGAACCTTCATATCCAAATTCCTCATGTTTCTTGACTGAACTTTTTTTACTTCTGATGTTAAAAGAGTTCATTTTTTCTTGCCTTCATAAACCCACTCATTTCTCCTATATGTGGTAGGATCGAGTTCAGATTCATTTGATACGTGGGATAGATTTTGGTGCGATTTTGAAGTATATACATGCATGTGTGTGTGTGTGAGAGAGAGAGAGAGAAACTAGAGTTGTGAGTCGGGTTCTTGTAAATGTACTTGCATACAAGGAACTGTTTCAAAGTGATGATAGTTATATACTTGCTGAGTTCATGGAGAGCCGAAAGCTTTGACGCAAAGCTTGGCCTATAAGGCCATATGCCTTTGAGTCAAATTTCAAATGCTAATATTAAAAGAGTGTCTTTTAATTGCCTAGCCGGCCCTAAGATTTTGATTTAAGACTTGAACCCTATGAAAATTGACTTTACCCAAAAAATATATAGAATTAAAGCAATTTAAATTATGTTGTTGAAGTTAGACTTTACTGAAATTAAAACTGGATTTCAAGATTTAGGCAAGGAACAAGTACAAGCCAATTACGCTTTGCGTTACCCGTAAGTCACGTTAAACATTGAATATATTACACTAAAGGTCAATCAATTATTAGTAAAATTACAAATGGATCACTAAGTTTTAAAAAGTTATAAACAACATATTTAATTAATTGATTGTTAAAAATATATCATTATGTTAATATATACACATTAACTTTTTAGTTACAATCATATCACTCTATTGATCAATTATAACATCTAGGTCAATTTATCAATTATAATAATCAAATTACTCGATTGTTATAATCAGGTAATTTCATTATAACTAAAATAATATATATTACACACATAATATTAGAGTGACTTGTTTATAATTTTTTAAACGCTTAATATAAAAAAGTGCCTAAACTATATATCTTTTTTTATTTAGGTGTGTAATGTTTTCAATATATTTATTTAGGTGCTTATGTCGTAATTGATGTTAAAAAAAATCCGTCAGCCGCTCAAAATATGACACATCATATGTTTATATATTTTTAAAAATTTTATTTTTTAAAAAAAAAACCTAAATTAAATTCTTAAAAAAGTCTCAAAATCCTTAATCCTAAAGCATCTACCCTACTCGTCACCTATCCACCATGTTGCCGTCGCCCCCTAACCGTCTACCTACCTGTCACTGTCTATCCATCCATCTACGGTCTTCAATCGTACCTTCAAACCCCCAAATCCCTAAACCTAAATTCTCAACCTCAAACTTTAAATCCCTAAATTCCAACATACATTCATCCCAATTGATGTGTGAGTGGTCGACGGGTGGTCAGTGGACTGGTGGTCGGTGATAGTCGGCGGCGGCGGTAATTGATGCCAAAATTAAATGTATTGGAGTAATTTTATGAAGAATATGAAAAGTTAGGATTTTTTTAAAAAATGTGAATTTTATTTTTTTAAAGAATTAAAGGAAACAAAAAAATCATGCCATGTGTCAAATACTTATTGATTGACTGATTTTTAACTGAATTTTTAAACGGTCATTACTACATAGGTACCTAATGATAATATTCAAAACGTTAGACACTTAAATTTATCGGAAAAAAATTAGGTATCTAAATGAAAAAAGAGGTATAGTTTGGGCACCTTTTTACATTAACCCTTTTTTAAATTCAATAGCTCGTTTGTAGTTTTACTAACAATAAAATGGCATTTTATATAATTTAACCTAAAAATTAATCATAGCCACTTCTTTCCCAAGCGTTAACCCTCGGCTTTTCTTAAAGCGAAATTGGTAATTGCCAAACTAGGTAGCTACTAGAAACCAAAACATAAAACCAATGGGCACTTACCGTTGTTTACTTCAAAAACCATCCTTTAAACTTTAAATACCGACGTCAGCTTCTGTACCTCCTTTCTACCTTGTTCTAATGAGAACAATTAGTTGATGGGATATTTTCGTAAAACATTAAATTAGATATTAAAATAAAATCAATTTCAACTTATTTAAAATAAAAAATACCAAGAATCAACCCAACAGTTCATCTCCTAAGACAATGAATATATTTTTTTCCGATTTTAATTATATATATATGCTTGCAAAATAAAAAAATTTGTAAATCTACAATCACCGATAATCGGATGGACTAGTGAAGTAAGATATTATTTTCTTAAATAATGTTAGAAATTAGAATCATGATATTAATAAATCGAGTAAATCGGATTGGGAGAGCTACATTTGTCTCTGTAATACCCGATCTAAATTAATCGATTAATAAATTAAATAAAAATGATATCTTCAATCATTTAAATATATATATATATATATATGACAATTTCTTTAATATTAAAGCTTTTCTAATTTTACTTCAAATTAAGATTCTTAATTTTCTTTTATACATCTCTTTTTGTTGAATATTTCCTTTTTCGCTCTATTTGTAATAGAGAATTCAAATATCAAATACAAACTACAAATTCATAAATTATCTAAGAGTATATATGTTTCATGCAAGAGATTGGATCTACTTGCATAATATTTTGATTTAAATTAAAAACACACACTTCTCTTTCCACTTTTTACTCTATGCCTTCTCTCTTCTTTCCCTAGGTTTCTTTCTCTCTTTCGCTTGCTTTGTTTAAATTTGTTCGAAGTAGAGTGATAAAAATGAACTTTTTAATTTAGGATAGTATATATCTTATTCTTTTAAATAAAAATGAATATTACATTATTTTAGAAAGACGTATGGATCACTCGACGTCTTCAACGAAAGATACATTGTCACTCAAAATACTATAGAAACCATCCTACTTAAAAATAAATAAATTTGCTTGAGTAGAACGATTAAAAAATAATACTTTTTTATAAAAATATTTTTTTTGGGGTTTAAAAGTGAATACTGAAAAAAAAAATTCTCCTATAGGCTATACTTTACCTTCCCATTTATTTCCTTCTTAAGAAATCTATCTAAAAAAAATCCCAAAATTGCTTTCAAAAGCAGGTTGGGATGGACCCACCCATTTCTTTAAAATGCTATTTTTTGTTTCTATTTCTTTGTATCATGCAGAGTTCTTAGGCAAAATTTTCGAGATAATGTTCTCGAAAATTTTATTTAACGATATAACGTACTCCCAAGATTAATTGCTCAAATAGGGTGAATTGCACAGTGTTGGCCGTAGGTCGCCATGCCTTCCGGGCGACCTACGGCGTGGCAGCTTCCCAGCATAGGTCGCCATGCACTCCTGGCGACCTTGTAGGTCGCCATGCACTCCTGGCGACCTTGTAGGTCGCCATGCACTCCTCCTGCTCCTCGCGTGATTCCTCTTGCCCTCGGATGCCCTCGCATAGCTCGCTCGAATGCCCTCGGTCGGATGCCCTCGGTCGGATGCCCTCGGTCGGATGCCTTCGGATGCCCAACGTGTTGGAACGTGCATGACACATGCAATCTCTCTCATAGCTCGCCGGGAAGACATGGCGACCTAGTAGGTCGCCCGGATGGCATGACGACCTACGACCAACACTGTAGATTTCACCCTATTTGAGCAATTAATCTGAGGAGTACATTAACTCGTGAATTAATTTATTCGAGAACATTATCTCGAGAGTTTAGCCGAGTTCTTAGGAAGGATCAAATATATTGGAAATCACTTCTTTTGTAATCTTTATATTTTGTCTTTTTTTAATCACGCTTACCAAACTCATTTATTTGTGTTTCTATATATTGGATTCTTAAGGTGTTTTTACTTTTATTATTAATTTTTTTAAATTTATATTACAATCATTACTTTTTAATTTACTTTATTATTGTTATTGTTGTTAATAATATTGACGCGACATGTTAAAATTTTATTTTTTTTAAAAAAATTTAAGATTCTAAATTAACAGTCACAACCAACACTAAATTTTTAATGAACAGAGTTGTCGTTGATCAATCTCAATGATAAAAATGATTCATTTAAATATAAAATTAATATAATTTGATTTTAAATTGATCCGACGTTTGACAATGACATATGGTTAGTTTTAAAATTTATTTTCGAATAGGATTTACTTAGAAATTGAGGAGATTGAAAGGTTTCTGTAATCTTTTTGATTAGAAAAATTATCAAATGAAGACGAAAGGAAGCAACAGTCCAATAAAAAACTAAAAGTTTAAACTTTTCAATATGTCACTATTAACTGTCTTATCAACTTGAAACTAAAAGGATAATTTTCATTGTTAGGATTGACAGGCAATGATCGACAAATTAAAAAATTAGATTTTTTGAGGGAAAAGACTCCATGTTAGCATTTTCTAAGGACAACTAAAAAAAGTGACTGTAATAAAAGTAAAATAAAATTTTAGTAGTTGTAATATAATTTTTGAGAGTTCAGTGACTAAAATGAAAATACTCTAAATTTCCAGTGACTGCAAATATAGTTTATCCTTAATTTTATTTGCTATTATTCAATAATTACAAGATTGAAATATATTAAAAAAAGTTACCTTGAATCTGATATAGATTTGAACCCTTATCTTATACATTTTGATTGGGACCCACTGCCAACTCTCTTCCCTTGATCCCCGTAATCAACTCCCACGTGTAACTCTATCAACAGTCAACACTCTACGGGAATGACACCTCAATGTCTGCGTGGAAACGCTGTCGTTTAACTTCACACTCTCGTTTTAACCAAAAAAGAAAAAGTCTGCAGAAAAACCGGCAAGGTACTTAAAATTATGATAACTGAAACCCAAAAAGCCTGAGAAAATTAACAAAAAGTAGAACACCAATTTCAGACAAGATTGTCTTGTCTTGCTCTTTTGTTTTCCTCTTTATCCATCGAAATTAAACGGCTTCTTTCACCTTCTCGTTTTGGCCAAAAACCGTTTCTTTCACTTTACTTCTGAACTAGATCTATGCAGTTACCACTTACCCACATCGTTTCAATCTTCATTCTTTCTGGGTTTGTGATCTTTCTCTTATTTGATTGATCATAGCTTTATTTTTTTTTCTTATTGGGTATGTTTTATTTGTTGAATTATGATGTATTCTTCACCTTGTTGCGTGTAGAGTTAATATTCTTTTCTTTGTGTACTTTTGTGGTTCTCGTTCTTGGTTTTTCTTTTCATCTTCCTTGCACTGTTTTATTTTCATTCATTAACCTTGCTGTATGTTTTTATGTGTTTTGGGTGATCTCATGAATGACGGTGGGGGTTAAATCAACTTTTGAAGTTCAATCAAGTTGTATTGCTTGCTTTTCTAGATGTATGCTTTTCTACTTCAAACTTGCTAATTTGTTTGATGGTTAGGCTTTTGTGTTGTTCTCATGAATAAGGAATTGGATTATCTGTTTATTAATCATTCAAAGAACTTTAAGGGTTTTGTATGGGAATGCATTTGGATTGGTTATTGTTTATGTGTTTGTCAACTTAGAAAGTAATTTGCCTTAAAACATGTCCAGTTGGCTGGTGATTATGTGGCTGATTTTGTGATGAAGAAGGTTTAGGAATTTCTTATTTCTAATGAGTGTAGTTATCTTTAACAGCTAAATGTGTAGCAGAGAAGGCTAGTGATGGCAGCAGCTGAAGCAAGGGCTGTGTGGCAAAGGACAGCTAATCGCTGCTTCGTTCAAGAGGATACCAAAAGAGCTCCCAAGTTAGCTTTCTGCCAGTCATCCTCTTCCACTAAACAGGCCGATTCAAGCCCCACCGGTGCAGCAGATACGAATCAGCACCCTACAACAGGTTTCAATCCTCTCAACAGGAACCCTTCCTATTCCAATCTACCCCCCGATACGAGGTGGTGGCTTCAGCTGAAGGCTAGCTATGGTCCCCAAATGGGCTTAACACACGAGCAATTAAATGCATTGGAGGATGAGGTGGAAAGCTTGAAAGCTGAAATAAACTCACCCTCCAAAGTAAGTAGATCTCATCAGCAGGATTCACATGATGTTTCTCTTGATTCAATGCGAACAATGGAGAACTGGGAAGTTTTGGATATGGAATATGTTGAATGCCATGCTTCCATGAAAACAAATGACTTCTGCCATGAACCAGAATCTCCCTGGTCTGGCCGTGGGAAGGCCGAGCCATGGTGGCGCAAGACAGATAAAGCCGAGCTGGCCTCCTTGGTTGCACAAAAGTCACTAGATTATATCGAGAATTGTGATCTTCCCCCACCTCAGAATGTGAATGTAAGGAAGTACTCACATGCATGCTCTGGTTCTTTTGACAGTGGTGAAGTATGTTCTTTGGCTTGGAAGCCCCAAAAAGTCCCTATTTGCAGTTCGGTAGTTAATGCACCGATGTCTCCTGATTCTATAAGAAAACTTGGAGCACAAATGGCTTCAGTTGAAGGGAAGATGCAGTGTGCTTCCAATACATTGTCCAGGTATATATTTTTATCAAATCTATTGATCCATTTTGTGAATGGATAGGGTAAAAAAAGTGTCCGAATGGCTTCTTGGATGAGCAATATTGTTTTACATTTCTAATCAATCAATAATTAAAGATGAAACTATTATTATCTGTTTGTTGAACTTTATTTACTCCATTCTTATAGTACGAGTACAACCGAAAAGGATATCTTGGAGCAAGTTACAGAGTCCGATCCTACCAAGGCCCAGCTGCTAGAAGCACTTTGTCACTCGCAATCACGTGCAAGGGAAGCCGAGAAAGCAGCAAACCAAGCCTATGCGGAGAAGGAACATGTCATCAGGCTTGTCTTCAAACAAGCCTCGCAACTCTTTGCCTATAAACAATGGTTCCAAATCCTGCAGCTGGAAGCCCTTTATGTCCAGATCAAGAATAACGAGCAGCCTCTAGTCCTTCCGTGGACACCCTACAAAAGCCAGAAAATGCAGAAGGACTGGCAAAAGACCGGAAAAGAGAGACGAGGGAAGCGAGGCCGACCTAGACCGGACATAACCAAGTATGCTGTTGCTTTAGCATTGGGACTTGGTCTTGTTGGCGCTGGTTTGCTGTTGGGATGGACCGTGGGGTGGATGCTACCTTTCTAGACTATGATGGAGTTAATCCATTGCGACGGAAGAATGGTCGGATATTTGGATAATATCTGCTCTCCATGGATATGTGGAGTTATTTTGGACTTGATTTTACATGTATTTGGTCCTGTATGATGTATGTAAGTAGTTATTGTTTTTCACTCTTTTGTAGTTGTCTTTGTTTCTTTGGGTGCGTAAATGATGCGATGGCTGTTGTAGATATATTGGGTGAAAGTTTCACGAGACAAAATGTATCTCAATATATTTATCTTTGATAAATCCATACGAAAATTGTTTAGTGCCTATAAAATGAACACGTTCTGGATTTTGAAACCCATTCTTCGGTCTTAGTAGCTTTGGAATGGTGGTGATTTTATGTATCAAAGACACTTTTTTAGGTAAAAGATTACATTTAAATGTTAATCGCGTTAAGTATTACATCGTTTTTGATACATTTCGGTTCATCGAATATAAATTAAAAATAATTGATTTTCAACTAGGCTCAATGCATAAGTGTGTACACTACCCGATTCGCTTCTCGGTTTACATAGTACACTTTAAATTTCGTGTAGCTCGTGGCTCACCAAAATGTCCCAACGTGGATTAGTGAGCCGATTAACAATGGAGATGACATTACCTTCTACGGTCACTTGATCTCATTCGCTTTAAGTCGAAAGCAACAACCTCAGTTAATTCGATAATATATATGTTGGATATATGAACTGCAAAACTACACCGTTAGCATTGACTGGAAATATAAACAATAATTAAAATGAACAAATTCGTAAACCGTGTCATGGTAAAAACCACTGCCTTAGAAACGAATTCGCCCCGATGTGTGTAATCGCTGCAGTAGGCGGACCGTCCCCCGAGGTTAACACTGTCGCTCCGAATTCCGTACACCAGAAACCGGAATGGACTGCTTGTGGTATTGCTCTTCTGATTGAAAGCACTCAGAGAGAACTCACAGAGAGAACTGTAGAAAACACTTTTGTAAGTGAATTGTGAATGTTTGAGAGTGAGTTGAGAAGCTGAATATAGCCCTATATTTATAGGCTAGAAATAGGGTTAAAATCGTCCATAAAATTTCAGGATTAAATCTCTTCTTTTGTAACAGCTGAAACGTCTAGATGAACCTGACTCAAAAATAGTCCAGGTTCATTGCATCATTGTTCAGCTGTTATAACTCCCGAAATTATATCATGTAACCTATGGAATTAAATCAAATAACTCTTGTAACTCCTGATATTAACAGCTTGTCTCCTCTGTACAAAGCTGGAAATCAGTCCAGATACATCTTAACGTTTTTGATTTAATTTAGGAAAAGCTGTTTAATTTCTCATAAACCAACTGTTATCATTTGAAATTAAACAGTCCTCAGCAACCTATAAATATCAGTTGAAATCTTTCACATTTTTCCATTTGTTTCTTTCAAAGAGAAATTCCTCAAGAATCTTCTCTAAAAAGACAGTATCCGCGCGGACGTGTTAAAGACACGTATTACCACGACCACGAGCCGAGCCGTGCCGTGCCAAGTCGAGACGTGACAGACAGACGGCGGCGGCGGTGCGTGAGAGTCCCCCTTGTTCTCTATCACTCAACAAGGAAGTGGGAAAGCCAAGTCTTAAATACCATTCCCAATAGTGTTTCCAATACTATGTGAGATTGAGCATTACCAACATTCCCCCACTAATGCGAAAGAAATCTTCTGAAACTCGAAAACAAACTTTCCAGAAGAGCAATAGCGAGATTAGTTGCTTAAGCACTAGTGAACATATATAGAACTAGTACATAGTGATGATGAGAAATCCTTCTCTTAGATAAGTGAAACTAGTCTGGAACTTTCTAAGATCAGGGTAAACTCATAACACACAACTAACCCCTTCATCCACCTGAGTCCTCGATGTGTAAGATATATATATACAAAGTATATATTTAGCCATCTTACCTCAGGATTCTAGTAAGTGTGCTAGAAAAATGGCCCAATATTTTTCATAGAAGGCGGCTAACCCTTCTCACTTACATAGGTTATTTTATCAAGTTTATCTCAACATAAACCACCCTTTAAAAAGGGATATGAAATAATTAAGAGCTTTAATAATAACTCAACCTCACAAAGGGTATGGTGACTTTCTTCAAGTTCATTATTAATAAACCACCCAAACTCTGGGCTAAGAAGTCATTAAGAATAAATATTCAACCTCATTTATCGGTAAATTCAGTAAGTCCTTCTCACTAGAACCATCCAAATACTTGGATTTGAATTTATTAAGAGTTTAACAAACTCAACCTTTCTATAGGTAAGTTCATCATTTCCTACCCACTCACTCTGGGTTATGAACTTATTAAGAATAGATATTCAGCCAAAATCGGTAAATTCATCAAGTCTTTCTCACTAAGACCACCCAAAGCCTGGGTTATGAATTTATTAAGAGCACTTAAGCTCATCCTGGGCATGCACATTATTCGTCATAAGGATAGGCAGTAGGAATGTGCACTATGAGTCTTTCCATGGTTTCGTTTGACCACATGGAACTTAGATAACTAAGTTGGGTATCCACCATGAATTCCTCAACCAATGGGTTTTAGACCCATCCCCCTCGACGAATCTAGGACCAGCTTCCGACTTAACCCTTTGGTAAGTGGATCTGCTAGGTTTCTTTCCGACTTCACATACTCTAAAGAGAGCACTCCATTCTTTATTAAGTGTCTCACTGACTCATGTCTTATACGAATGTGTCTTTTCTTGCCACACATATCGCAGTTTGTGAATCACACATTAATGAAACTGGAGGAGTCGGTCTTCCCCACAACGGAATATCTGCTAACAAACTTCTGAGCCACTCGGCTTCTTGCCCAGCTAGGTCAAGAGCTATAATGTAACACCCCCAACCCATACCCGACCCGGATATGAGTCAGAGCTACTACATTGACTTTGAAACACAACTCTTAACAAATAATAGCAAAATATTTGGACTTATATTAAGAAAATACGATAATATACATATTGTAATATAAGTTTACTAAAATATTCAGAGCATACACAACTTAACCCTTTAATTACATGCCAACTGCCATTTACATAACAAAATGACCTACTGATTAAGTTGCTTCTGATCTGGTGGTTGCAGGAGTAATGTTGTCAAGCTGCTTCACATGTCTCGTCTATTTTCTCGGATCCTACGTGTGAAACACTCACACGCTAAGTCATCGACTTAGTGAGGCAATAATAATAACAAGGCAATGTAATAAAAATGTCATGATCATATGAAATGAGATGCAAACATGTACTTAATCAATGTAGTCTACATCATCAATATCCATACCTGTAAGCGTATGACTTTAACATTCATGAATCTGTATTAATAAGTTTATTGGCCCATGATAGCATATTGAGAACCTAAGGTATCTGAGTAATGTGAGGTTGTGCACTATGTTGTCACCACAGCTCGTATAAATGCACCGAAGTGCCGCGTAGAATTGCACCGTAGTGCCATATAATGATGTCCATAAGGACCACATATAATTCCTTAAGAATCATATACATATACTAGGGATCAAGTATGTGTCTTTCCAAGACTTCACACATGTTCCACAGAATATATATATATCCCGAAGGACCGCGTAGAATTGCACCGTAGTGCCATATAATGATGTCCATAAGGACCACATAGAATTCCTTAAGAATCATATACATATACTAAGGATCAAGTATGTGTCTTTCAAGACTTCACACATGTTCCAAAGAATATACATATGTCCCGAAGGACCGCGTAGACCCTCTACCTTTGGCATGCCAACTATACCTATAGTTCTCATCTACATAACATGGGCTTTTACATTTCACGTAGTCTATATCGCGTAGACATGTAAATTCTTACCTTTTCACATAGCTCATAACTTTTCCCACATATTCATGTCATATAATGCATTTTATATGAACTCATGTCATGTCTCATAATACAGGATATGCTCATGTACCAAGATATAAAATCTAGACTTATCACAAGTCTAGAATGGAGTATATTTCTATAATTATGCTATGCATATGCACTCACCTATATTTCTTTGCCTTTTCCTCGATCGATCCTACTTGTAGATTGTTCCCGAACTCGTGTAGGCTCGGTATCTACATAAACATAATTTCCAAGATGATTATCAGATGTCTATGTCTTGAAATTAAGCTTTAATAGCTTACTAATTTAAGGAATTAATAGCTTAGTCTTTCTTTCTTTTCTTTCTTTTTTTTTCTCATGGGGGAATCGGTCCCCCCCCTGGGGGTATCGATTCCCCTCTAGCATTCTGGAAATTCATATTCGTTGAGGGGGTATCGGTTCCCCTTGAATGGGTACCGATTCCCCTAGCCCAAAAATCCTATTTTGAGCTCGAAAATCATCTCCTTTCAGCTCAAATATACATATTTCACTCCCTTTAATACTCTTAGCTTTCATACACTCACTTAAACTAATTATTATCCATTTAATACCTCTAAACTAAAAAAAAAACTAACCATCCATATAGAATTGAAGAATCTTACTCAAATTTCAACTTGTTCTAATTTCAATTCTATTACCTCATACTTCTTAATTAACTTATTGACAAGTCAAAAATCTTATTCAAACTTCAAAAACTCATCCATCTCAAAATTTCATCTAAAAACTCATTTTCCAAATCTATCTCTAAAACACTTATCTTGTTGTCTTAATGTCATATAAGCTTTCCTTTAGCTTATATAACATCCAAACTTCCATTTCCAATCTAAAAATCAAAGAAACTACCAAGGTTCAGATTCTTACCTTTACTTGCAAGCTTCACGTTTGGAGAAGGAAGAGAAGAAGATAAGAAAGAAGGAAGAAGAAATGAGAGGATTCTGGAATACTAATGCCCCACGTGGGTTATAATATAACCCCATAACATTTTTTTAATTATAATTTTTCCTTACAAATGACCATTTGGTCCTTACATTCATTTCATATTTACTAACCATTATTTTTAAACTATATAATTATTCTACTTTAATCACCAAATGTTGAAACTTTGCAAATTAATCACTAACCCGGCATGGAGGATGTTACAAATCTCCCTCCCTTAAGAAAATTCGTCCTCGAATTTTCAATA